ACACTCACACACCTACAACGTTCACACAAAGACACAGAGACGCAGATACATACTGACACATACACAGGTACCTACAACACACACACACACATCTATACACACACACACACAGGCGTACCTACAACACACACACCTATACACACTGACAAAAACACAGCTATACACACACACAGACGTACCTACAACACACACACCTATACACACTGATATACACCAAAGTACCTACAACACACACAGACACACACACACAGAGACAGACACACACACACACAAACACACACACACACAGATGTACCTAGAACATACACACACACACCCCTACACACACAGACACACAGATACATACTGACACACACACACACCCACAACATACACACACACAGAGACGTACCTACAACACACACACCATACACATTGACACACAAACACACACACACGCAGATGTACGTAGAACATACACACACACACACACACAGACGTACCTAGAACACACACACACCTACACACACAGACACACAGACGTACCTACAACACACACACCATACACATTGACACACACACACAGATGTACCTAGAACATACACACACACCCCTACACACACATAGATGTACCTACAACACACACACAACACACATCTATACCAGCAACACACACACACACACGCATACACTGACACACATAACCTACAACACACAGACACACACGCACATACACACACCTATGCACACATACTTATACCACCTACACTGCAAACACACACACACACACACACCTATACACACATGGAGATATGTCAGTGTGTCTGTGATCAAATAAATCTCTCTTCATTCACAAAAACATTTCTTGGTCCAGAAATAAACAGAACGACACAAATAAAATCCATGACGCACAAATAAACATAAAAACTTTCACAAAAACAGAAGAAAATGTGTGGAGATTCACAAACGTCACTGCAGGTTCTTTTATTTAAACTGATGAACCTGCTGCGTTTACAAAACTCTGTACAGGTTTGTTGTTTCTAGAGACGCAGCGATAGTTTTCACACGATTCGATACGTGTCTCGATACACAAGGGTTCGGTCAAGTGTTAACGGAGGAAAACAGAGGCAGATTTTTGACATTCAAATGTCTCTTATTCAGAAACTAGAGGAACTATTGAAATAAGTAAAGTATCAGAATGTAGGAAAGAGTTACACTCCAACAGGGTCAAGTTAAACCTGTGAGATTCTTTCAAGTTCAAGACAAAAAATTAAAAAAAACTCATGTCGGTAACGGAGGGAATGAAATATGCAGCACTTTTTGGTCAATAAATCCAAACAGTGATAACTCTTGGTTCTCACTTACATATCCTTAACAAACTGGTTTGAATATTTGCTTCATATAGTTTTCTACCATATGGTACAAGATTAGGTTGAAAAACCTCTGACTTTTTGACTCATGAGATTTTTTATTAAGAAAGTTCATGGTAACGGAGGGAAAAGTAACGGAGGGAAAATTGTACAAACAAGTAGAAGCTGCAGGATTTTACATCATTTGTGGCTTTTTTCTTCTGAAAACTTTAATATTACTTCAAAATGAAAGGAAACTATTTCTATAAAATATGTCAGTCCTTCCAAGAACATTTTTATCATTTTAAATACTTTTTTTTTTTTTCCTGTCCCTTCATCAACAGTTCAAAGATGGAATAACACAAGATATGATGAAATACAAACATTTATTTACATGATTTTGTCTTTGAAATTTGGGAAATAATGTTTGTTCCATGTTTCATTCATGGTCTGTTTAAAACATATGGAACTTTACAACCAAAAATGGAACAGAAAAAAGGTCAACAGTTTGATAAACTCGAGTACATATGGATCTGTTCAATACATTTTTATATCAGATGAATTAATTTTTGGTCTTGTTGTTTACTTCTGCTTGACTCAGTCTCAATATTGATGTTTTAGGCCACAAAAAAAGTCAAAATGTGTAAATTTTTTCCGTTAATGAGTAAAATATAAAAACACTAATATAATGAAACGTAATAACAACACACACACTCTCTCCTTCTCTCCCTCCTCGATTCTCTCTCTCCCTCCTTCTCTTCTTCCTACCCTCTCTCTCTTCCTCCCTTTCCCTGTTTCTCTCTCTTCCTCCTTCTCTCTCTTGCCCTCACTCTCCTCTCCTTCTCTCTCTCTCTTCTCTCTCTCTCTCTCTCTCTTCTCTCTCTCTCTCTCTCTCTCTCTCTCTCTCTCTCCTTCTCTCCGTCCTTTCTCTCTCTTTCTCTCTCCCTCCTTCTCTTCTTCCTACTCTCTCTCCCTCGCTCCCCCCCTTTCCCTGGTTCTCTCTCTCTGTCCTTCCTTCTCTCTCTTTTCCCCCCTCCCTCCCTCCCTTCCCTCCCTGATTATCTCTTCCCTCCTTTCTCCTTCTCTCTTTTCCTCCCCTCTCCTTCCTTCTCTCTCTCCCTCCCTCACCTCCCTAATTCTCTCTCCTTCCTTTTTCCCCTCTCCCTCTCTCCTTCTCCCCCCTCTCTCCCTCCCTCTGCAGCTTCATCTCTCTCTCTCTCTCTCTCTCTCTCTCTCGTATTTATTCACTTCTTTTCTTTGTGAAACTTTATCCTTTTTTTCCCCGACAGCACCTCACTCTGTTCTCGATCGCCCGCAAACACCGCAGACACTCGATCACTTTACTACGCCTTTCATCTCCTCCCTCTATCCCTCTATCCCTCTCTCTATCCACCCCTCCCTCCCTCCCTCCCTCCCTCCTCTCTCCTCTCTCGGTCTCTGCACGCCTCTCTCTCTCTCATCTCTATCTCTTCTGTTTTTATTTCTCTCTCTCCTCTTTATTTCTATTTCTCCTTTCTTCTTCTCTCTCTCTTTCTCTCTCTCTCTTTCTCTCTCATCCCTCCTTCTCTTCTCTCTCTCCAAATAAACCTTCCAAATGTCGAGGGGAAACAAATAAAACACGGTTAAAAGTTCAGAAAAGTCCATTTTGCTGCACATCCTCTCCTCCTTTATTTAATCCTTAATTTAATCCAATTCTTGTTACTCGTCTCCTTGCTCCTGTCCTTACTCGCCTCCTTTCTCGTCTCCTTGTTCGTCTCCTTGTTCATCTCCTTGCTCCTCTCTTTACTCGCCTCCTTGTTCTTCTCCTTACGCAGCTCCTTCCTCCTCTCCTTGCTTGTCTCCTTGCTCCAGTCGTTACTTCTCTCCTTACTCGCCTCCTTATTCCTCTCCTTTCTCTTCTCGTTGTTCATCTCCTTGCTCGTCTCCTTGCTCCTCTCTTTATTCGTCTCTGTACTCGTCTCCTTTCTCCCGTCCTTCCTCCTCTACTTGCTTTTCTTGTTGCTCGTCTCCTTACTCCTGTCCTTACTCGCCTCATTGATCCTCTCCTTGCTCTTCTCCTTATTCACCTCCTTGCTTGTCTCCTGTCACCTCACACGTCTCCTCCTCCTTACTCCTCTCCTTACCTCTTTACTCGCCTCCTCCTCCCTCAACCTCCTCCCTCACCTCCTCGTCTCCTCCCTCGTCTCATTTCCAGCGCGGACAGCAGCTAAGCGCCTCCTCCCTCCTCTCCTCCTTCCTTGTCTCCCCTTCTCCTCCCTCACCTCCTCGCTTCCTCCCTTATCTCCTTGCCTCCTCCCTCATCTCCTCGCCTCCACCCTCATCTCCTCCCTCACCTCCTCGTCGCCTCGCCTCCTTGTCTCCTCGCCTCCTCCCTCGCCTCCTCCCCTCCCTTGTCTCCTCCCTCATCTCCTCGCCTCCTCCCTAACCTCCTCCCGCATCTCCTCCCTCGCCTCCTCGCTTCCTCCTGCCTCGTCTCCTCCCATGCCTCCTCTTCTCCTCCCCCACCTCCTCCTTCACCTCCTTCCTCCTCATCTCTTCCCTCGTCTCCTCGCCTCGTCTACTCGCCTCCTCCCTCGCCTCCTATTCTCCTCGTCTCCTCCCTGACCTCCTCGTCTCCTCCCTCACCTCCTCATCTCCTCTCTCACGTCCTCCCTCGTCTCCTCCTCCCTCGCCTCATCCCTCGTCTCGTTTCCAGCGCGGACAGCAGCTAAGCGCCCATGACCTGGCCTCCTCCCTCCAATCCTCCCTCGTCTCCTCGCCTCCTCCCTTGTCACCTCGTCTCCTCCTCCTTCTCCTCCTCCCTCCCCTCCTCCCTCGTCTCCTCCTCCCTTGTCTCCTCGCCTCCTCCCTCGTCTCCTCGTCTCGTTTCCAGCGGGGACAGCAGCTAAGCGCCCGTGACCTCGCCGACCCGATTTAACCTTTATCAATAAACCAGGAGCACAAAGCGTCCGAAACCGAAGCCTCCAAAACAAAACACACACCAGCGAACCAACGAAAGAAAGAACGAAACCCGAGCCGCCGTGACAACCGATCTACGGCCACACGCCAGCGCCAAAACAAGACGAGTAAAAGAAGTTAATGCTGCGTGGAGGAGAGAGAGAGACGAGCGGGGCTGAGCTTTAGTATTCTGGAACATTTACTACAGGAACGAGAGGAAGGAACGAGAGGAAGGAACGAGAGGAAGGAACGAGAGGAAGGAAGGAAGGAACGAGAGGAAGGAACTAGAGGAAGGAACTAGGGGAAGGAACGAGAGGAAGGAACGAGAGGAAGGAACGAGAGGAAGGAACTAGAGGAAGGAACTAGAGGAAGGAACGAGAGGAAGGAACTAGAGGAAGGAACTAGAGGAAGGAACTAGAGGAAGGAACTAGAGGAAGGAACTAGAGGAAGGAACTAGAGGAACTTTTTTAACCAGAACTACTCTGAAAAATGGACTTTTCTAGTTGTTTCTTCTCACTGACCCTCTGAAGTTGTATTTGGAGTGTATTTGTTGGTCCCAAGTCCTGGTTTGTGGTGGTCTCTGGTCTGGTGGCCGGTAGTCCTGGTCTCTAGTCCCTTGTCCTGGTCTCTAGTCCCTTGTCCTGGTCTCTAGTCCCTTGTCCTGGTCTCTAGTCCCTTGTCCTGGTCTCTAGTCCCTTGTCCTGGTCTCTAGTCCCTTGTCCTGGTCTCTAGTCCCTAGTCCTGGTCTCTGGACTGTGGTGGTCCATAGTCCTGGGTCCCGGTCTGTAGTCCCGGTCTGTAGTCCCGGTCTGTAGTCCGTGGTCCATAACCCTGGTCTGTGGTCTGTAATCCTGGCCTGTGGTCTGTGGTCTGTAGTCCCGGTCTGTGGTGGTCCGTAACCCTGGTCTGTGGTCCGTGGTCCTGTGGTCCATAGTCTGTAGCTGTGGTCTGTGGTGGTCCGTAGCTCTGGTCTTTAGTTCTGGGCCGTAGTCCTGGACTCTGGTCCATAGTCCTGGTCCAGGGTGGTCTCTGTTCTCTGGTCTGTAGTTCCTGTCTCTGGTCAGTGATCTGTGATGGTCCGTAGCCCTGGTCTGTAGTGATCGGTAGTTCTGGTCTGTGGTCTGTGGTGGTCTCTGTGGTCTGTAGCTCTGGTCTGTAGTCCAGGTCTGTGGTGGTCTCTCTGATCCATAGTTCTGGTCCGTAGCTCTGGTCCGTAGCTTTGGTCTGTGGTGGTCTGTTGTCCTGGTCTGTGGTCTGTGGTAGTCCCTAGTTATGCCCGTAGCTCTAGTCTCTGGTCTGTTGCTCTGGTCTGTAGTCCAAGTCTGTGGTGGTCTCTCTGGTCCATAGTCCTGGTCCAAGCTCTGGTCTCTGGTCTGTTAGTCCTGGTCCATAGTCCTGATCTATGGTCTGTGATGGTCCATAGTCCGTGGTCCGTAGTCCCGGTCCTGGTCTAGTCCGTGGTCTGTAGTCCGTGTCGTCCCTCTGGTCCCCTGTCCGTGTCCGGTCGTAGTCTGTAGTCCTGGTCTGTCTCTGTCTCTGGTCTGTGGTTCCTGTCTGTAGTCCATAGTCCTGGTCTCTGTTCTGTGGTCTCTAGTCCGTAGTCCCGGTCCGTAGTCCCGGTCCGTAGTCCCGGTCCGTAGTCCCGGTCCGTAGTCCCGGTCTAGTCCTGGTCCGGTCTGGTGGTCTAGTCCTGGGTCTGTAGTCCTAGTCTGTAGTCCTGGTCTGTAGTCCTGGTCTCTGGTCCGTAGTCCTGGTCTCTGGTCCGTAGTCCTGGTCTCTGGTCCGTAGTCCTGGTCTCTGGTCCGTAGTCCTGGTCTCTAGTCCTGGTCTGTCCGTAGTCCTGGTCTGGTCCTGGTCCGTAGTCCTGTCTGTAGTCCGTGGTCCTGGTCCTGGTCTGTAGTCCTGGTCTGTAGTCCTGGTCTCTGGTCTGTAGTCCCGGTCCGTGTCTGCAGTCTTGGTCCCTGGTCTGTAGTCCTGGTCTGTAGTCCTGGTCTCTGGTCTGTAGTCCCGGTCCGTGTCTGGTCCTGGTCTGTAGTCCTGGTCTCTGTCCGTAGTCCTGGTCTCTGGTCCGTAGTAGTCCTGGTCCGGTCCTGTAGTCCTGGTCTCTGGTCCGTCCTGGTCCGGTCCGTAGTCCTGTCTCTGGTCCGTAGTCTGGTCTCTGTAGTCCTGTCTCTGTCCTGGTCTGTAGTCCTGGTCTGTAGTCTGGTCCTGTAGTCCTGTCCGGTCTGTAGTCCTGGTCTCTGGTCCGTAGTCCGGGTCCTGGTCTGTAGTCCTGGTCTGTAGTCCTGGTCTGTAGTCCTGGTCTGTAGTCCTGGTCTGTAGTCCTGTCTGTAGTCCTGGTCTGTGTCAGTAGTCCTGGTCTGTAGTCCGTGTCTGTAGTCCTGGTCTGTAGTCCGGGTCTGTAGTCCTGGTCTGTAGTCCTGGTCCCTAGTCTGTAGTCCTGGTCTGTAGTCCTGGTCTGTAGTCTGGTCTGGTCTGTAGTCCTGGGTCTGTAGTCCGGGTCTGTAGTCCGGGTCTGTTCCCAGGGCGCGTCGTGGTGTGAGGGAGAAAGGCATCGGTGGAATTTTATTATGATAACAGAAGCTCTGCTCAGACAAAAGCCGCTCGGCCGACGCACAAAAACTCACACACACACACACACACACACACACACACACACACACACACACACACACACACACACACACACACACACACACACACACACACACACACACACACACACACACACACACACACACACACACACACACACACACACACACACACACACACACACACACAACACACACACACACACACACACACACACACACACACACACACACACACACACACACACACACACACACACACACACACACACACACACACACACACACACACAACACACACACACACACACACACACACACACACACACACACACACTTTATTCAGACGGACGTGTGCGGACACCCCCGAAATAGAAGCGCATGAGAAACAGACGACAGAACGACACACACACACACACACACACACAGACACACACACACACACACACACACGACACACACACACACACACACACACACACACACTCACACACACACACACGAACACACACACACACACACACACACACACACTCACACACACACACACACACACACACACACACACACACACACGACACACACACACACACACACAGACACACACACACAGACACAGACACACACACACACACACACACACACACAGACACACACACACACACACACACACACACACACACACACACACAGAGAGAGAGTGATAAACGGAGGAGGGGGACGACTTCACAACACGAATGAAGTTTGGATCAATCAGGTTAAAACACCGGATCAAAAAGACGATTTAAAAATATTCACGCAGGATCAGATTCACAGACGAGAAACTGAAACACGGTGATGTCGTATCGTCAAAGTTCTCACAATAACATCACAATAACCGTCTCAAAATATCGAATCACAAGTGTCTCTGTTTAAATGAAGAGTTATGAGAGGGAAAACTACATAGACCATGATCCTTTGCTCCGTGTCAGTCCAGACGACAAGAAGAAATAACAGTTCTGACACTTTTAACTCTTTGGTTTAAGTCTTTTTAAGAAGAAAAACCTCCACAAAATATCGTAATAAATATCGTAAATATCGTGAGACGTATATCGGGAAAATATCGTATCGTGAGACTTGGATATATCGTTTGATCCCAACTAAACTGTGATCGTTAGAAACAGTCGTCGCGTTTACATCAGACATTTAATTATGAATAAAAATATATTCCAAAGTACCATATTTTTTAGATTATAAAGGAGCATTAAGTGAAACAAGGAGTCCTTACTTGTCTCCTTGTTCGTCTCCTTACTCCTCTCCTCACTCTTCTCCTTCCTGGCCTCCTTATTCACCTCCTTGCTTGTCTCCTCCCTCGTCTCCTATCACCTCCCTCGTCTCCTATCACCTCCCTCGTCTCCTCACTCACCTCACTCACCTCCGTCTCCTCATCACCTCCCTCGTCTCTCCTCCTCTCGTCTCCTCACTCACCTCCTCCTTCGTCTCCTCCTTCGTCTCCTCACTCACCTCCTATCACCTCCCTCCCTCACTCTCCTCACTCACCTCCTATCACCTCCTCTCGTCTCCTCACTCACCTCCTCCCTCACCCTCCCTCGTCTCCTCACTCACCTCACTCCTCCTCCTCTCCTCACTCACCTCACTCTCCTCCCTCGTCTCCTCACTCACCTCCTCCCTCTCGTCTCCTCACTCACCTCCTCCTCCCTCGTCTCCTCACTCACCTCCTCCCTCGTCTCCTCACTCTCCTCGTCTCCTCACTCCTCCTCACTCACCTCCTCCCTCGTCTCCTCACTCACCTCCTCCCTCGTCTCGTCTCCTCACTCACCTCCTCCCTCGTCTCCTCACTCACCTCCTCCCTCGTCTCCTCAGTCTCCTCACTCGTCTCCTCACACCTCCTCCCTCCTCCCTCGTCTCCTCGTCTCCTCCCTCACTCTCCTCCTCTCACCTCCTCCCTCTCGTCTCCTCAATCACCTCCTCCTCTCGTCTCCTCACTCACCTCCTCCTCTCGTCTCCTCACTCACCCTCCTCCTCCTCTCGTCTCCTCACTCACCTCCTCCCTCGTCTCCTCACTCACCTCCTCCCTCCTCCTCGTCTCCTCACTCACCTCCTCCCTCGTCTCCTCACTCACCTCCTCCCTCGTCCTCACCTCCTCCTATCACCTCCTCCCTCGTCTCCTATCACCTCCCTCATCTTAATTCGGATTAAACTTAATTTTTCGGACTATAACCGGATTATAAGGCACATTAAGCAAAACAGAGAAACGACACTTGAGTCTGATCCTTTAGTCCAGGCGTCCGCGATCCATCGGCAGATCGTGGAGTAATTCGCCCGGCGTCACCTCCCTGTCCCAGTGAATGTGGATTATTGAGTAATAATGTGTTTAATGCAGCTCTGACACATTTGTTTACATTTTACAGAAACTAAACTTAAAACCACATGACTTATTTGCATAAACTATAAGCTCTGAAAAAAACAGCTCTCTTGCACTTTTCTCCGCGAGGCTCCTGACTACAGCAGCCGTAACGCTCCTATAATCCATCGAGCGGTGCGGCTTTGTAGTTCACCAAAGTCGTACTAAAACATTCTGACAGCTTTTTGAGCGTCGTGTACCACAGAAAATTGGTTCAAGGTCAGTAAACACAACCAGAATTAATACATAAAGCACCGGATTATACGGCGCACTGTCGATTTTTCAGAAAATGAAAGGATTTTAAATGCGCCTTTTAGTCCAAATAATAATAATACAGTAAAAGGTCGGTTTATTCTGATTTAAAAGCCAATTTAATCCTTGATCATGTAAATGTACGTTGAGGTCAGCCCTACGTTCCCTCATTTCTAAGTTTTTTCTCAAAATGAAACTCTAAGTCAAGTTTTTTTATTTTTATACCACATTTCAAGGGGTGATTCAGAGTCATCTGCACCAGGACCTCAACATCACATCTGTCATCAACTTCTGCGGGTGTTCAGGTGTAACTGACGAACAAACTGCCAGAAATTCTGATGACAATTGATGGTAAAGGAAATGTGGGAACATACGACCTAATTTTGCAAAGAAAAAAACTGAAAACACACACAAACATGTATAAACAACATTTTAAAAAAATGCTTAATTTGGGGCCTTGGCTACAAAAGTGCAAAATATCAAGTCTGTAAATAAACTAAAAATCTCCTTATTGCCTCAAAACAAAACAAAAAGTGCAGTGGCCTCATGACTTGACTGGTGCAGGTCGTGGAAACAGCTGGAGTCAGGTCCAGGACACAGAGACACATCACTTCTGCATTTCCCTGGAGTTTATTACATTTGGATTTGGACATTTGGACTCAAATAAACCTGAAAATGAAAATAATAAAAAGTGTAATTGTCCATTTATTTGAGAAATCTCTGCAGTGAACACAGACGCTCAGAACATCGACCGGTTTGACTCACTACACTCTTTGGCAAAGTTTGGACCAATCAAAATGGACGGAGCGACTGAGTTTGGACCAAAACAAAAGTTCCTATTGGACACTCGTTTTCCTGATATCATGAAGTGAGATTTGAACCACCAACTTTCAGATCAGTGGACAAACGCTCCACGAACCAACTGAACTGTCGACCGTCACCAGTGTTACCAGAGTAATCAGAGTACAAATGATGAGTAACTGT